TCTTCATCAAGGGCTAATTTCGAGGAGCAAACTTGAAGAGCCACGAAAAACATAGGAATAAAATGAAGCTAACTTTTGTTTAGTCGGATGACATGACATGATTTAAAGTGTGGTGGAAGGCAAACCGATGAAGGTTTACGGTAAACTGTAGTACTGAAGTTGGATGTGTTACGTGTGACCAGAATGTCGAGAAACGGAAGAAAATTGCAAGTCTCAAGTTCAAAAGTGAACTGAATAGCAGGATCAATAGAATTCATTGTTGAAAGAACTTTATTTAAAAAATCATCTTTATTACCTTCAAACAGGGTAAAAGTATCGTCTACGTAGTGGAACCATGCCGGGAAGTTTAAAGTTTCAAAAAACAATTTTTGATTCATAATAAGCATGTAGATATCAGCCAGGATGGGACTGAGGGGGCTTCCCCCATGGCTAATCCCTCAGTTTGTTTGTAATATTTATTTTGGAAAACAAAAATGTGTTTGTTTCAAACAGAGTTGAGTGAGAGAAATTAGCTCCTCAATTTCGATGCAAGAGAAATGAAATTCGCGAAGTCTGGTTTCTAGACATCTTAATGCACCCTCCACTGGACATTGGTGAATAATGATTTTACATCAAAAGAAACCATGAGTAAATTACTAGGAGAAATGTTTTTAATACTTTTTAAAAATTTTTAATCTTTTTTTACAAACTCTATTGAATTTTTTATGGTGTAAATGTTATTGTCTAATAGAGTGGAAAATCTAGAAACCAAATATTTAGCTAAAGGATACGAGGCAGTACCTAAATTAAATTTGATACAATATGGCGGAAAGGAATACCACTTTTATGAATTTTGGGAAGAGCATATAATCTGGCACAATTCGCAACAGATGGGATAAGCGAATGTTTTAAGTTGCTTGAAATGATTTGCGAAGATTTGATCGCAGTTTTTATTTTGGATAAGTCCGAAGGTGAAGGATCTTTAGGGATCGGATTATATGGTCCTTCGTTTAAGAGTTTAGTGACACCATCGATGTAAGTGTTCTTATCCATGACGACTATCTGGCCGCCTTTGTCGGCCTTTGAAATGATAATATCCGGGTTAGAATGAATTTCGCGCATTGTAGCTCTTTCTCTCGCAGTTAGATTTGGTTTCAAAGATTTATTATTGGATTTCACATTATGAGCGATAAGATGAGAGATAAGGATGGTCTGTACACATGTTATCGTTAAAGGTTCTTGAGTGATAAATCATAAAGTGTTATGGCTGAATAATCGGGAAGCAAAGGGCACAACAAGCAGCCACTATCGACGTTCAACGTAGACGAAAAACTGTATTTGAATATTCAACTCAAAACTAGAAAAAAAGAAGAATATTTTTCTTTCCCCTATAATTTAATATACAATATATTTTTATATTACAAAAACAAAGAGTTTTCCAAGCTGATAAAATCTGCTGGTTCTTTTCTGAAAAGAAGCCCGTATTTATTTCTATCATTTAATAAAATTTACTGTCCGTATTTTTTTTATTAAATCAAATAAACAGACTGCTACGCCATAAAAACCAATCAAATATTTATTTATGAGAAAAAATAAATTGAAAGGAACTGAGGACAAAGTATGGCGATAACGTAAACAATCGCCTTGAAGGAAAAACAGTTTCAAGCAGTTTAAAATTTTAAACGGTTATTAGATAATAAATAAAAGTACAGAAATATTAAACCCAAAATTAGGTCTTTTCAAACTTTTCCTTTTTCATATTTTAAAGGTAAAATGCATCTCATTCTTCCTTTGTAAATGAAACATGTATGAATCCGTTTTTGATACAAAATACAAATATAAACTTAACGATATAAATTTAGACACACTGAAAGCAAGACAGAGAGTGTGTAGAGACATTAGGTTATTTTAGAAGCAGGAGTGATGAAAAATGAGTAACGCCTTCGCCGGGAATCAAACCACGGAACTCTGGGATACGCGCTCAGCGTACAGACCACCACACCACGAAGGCATGCCAAGAAGGCGGGGAGAATGTATATATGTATTCTCCCTCTTTTAGAGGGCGGCTGGTGTTTTTAGGGGACACAATCGCCAAATCCTGGGTGTGGAGAATCATCATCCACCACCTTTTTTAGTTCGGAAGCCACTGTAGAGACATTAGGTATTTTTTAGAAGCAGGGGACTTGAAAAATGATAACGCCTTCGCTGAGAATCTAACCACGGACCTCTGGAATACGCGCCCAGCGTGCAGACCACCACACCACGAAGTCGGGAGAAATACCTTATAAGTGTAAAAATTATTTTACGATTTACATTGGCGACATATTAGAAACTAGTAGCTGATTCGGTTATTGAAACATAAATAATAACAATATATGAAGTTGTAAGTTAATTAAGTAATTGTACGTATTGTATTATTTGTGTTACCTTTTTATCGTAAATTTTCCTCTATTACACTAGATATTGTTTGTTATATGTATTGCAAAGTTGTAGTTAGTTTGCAAAATTTAATAGCAACTCGAAGCTTAAATTTTAAGCCTATGCCAAAATATCTCATATAATTAACCTGGCCAGGCGTCGGCAACCTTATTTGGCTGCGGGTCAAAATTAGTCAAAATACGTGTATTAAGAAGACGTTTCGGGTCAGAGGTATTTTAATTTTAGAACAGTCTTTCTTGGTGAATAATAAGATAAATTTTATTGAGAAAATAATTACAATACGCTTTAAACATTAAAATTAAAACAAATTCAAAATTCGGGCTTCCAAGTGCCCATGTTTGATTGGAGGACTACGTTTTTCAAAATTTGATGGCTTTATGTACCGTTGTTTCTACACGATGCGAGAAATATTCATGCGTTCATGCAGATTCTTCATTATTTAGCTTCTTTAAATATAATACATAGGCCCGGTGGCGCAGTGACTAGTGCATCGCGCAGCAGCATCACAGGTCCGGGGTTCGAACAGGGCATATGCTTACGCACCCCGGGGCCCACGGTCAAGAAAGCAGATTTGGGGCACTGCAGGCCTTGGCCCATTAGGGCTGTTTGCGCCACTGAGTTTAGTTTTTAGTTTAGTTAAATGTAATATATGGCGATAATATTTGGGGGGCAGCAGTTTGAAAAGTGATTAGACACAAAATGCAGTTTTGAGACTAATAGTCTTTCTGGGCTAACGCTCCTTGGGCTAATTATAATTATTATAAAAATAAATGTAACTGAATCAATTTTATTTTTCTCTTCAATATTAATGGCTACCCTGATGCTAAACTTGTGATGCCAATTTAGTCAAGTATGGCTTTTGGTTAGTCATCTTAAGACGAATGCGAATTCAGACAAGATGGCAAAGCCAGTTTTATGGAATTATGGATTGTGGACTGGCGTAGCCAAACTTACCAATTTCTTCTTGAAATTATGTTACAGTTTTCATATTTTAAAAATAAAAATGCATATTCGCCACTGCTACTTTGTAATCAAACAAAAATATTATTAATATTGTTCATTTTCGGTTTGTTTTTATGTATTCTTCAAGTATTCATTTCATATTTATGTTTTATAATTTATTTTTATATATTATTCTTTACTTTCGGAACTCAAGTGGGCCACTTGAAATTATGAAATGGGTCACTTGGTAACCCCGGATGATACTTTGCCGAGGCTTGACCTAGGTGATGTTTACTTGACGTAAATGTGTGCAATTTTCTGAACAGACTGGGCGTAACAGATTCTGAACAGATTACGCGTAACATTTTATTTTAGCATCTAAAGAAACTGAATTCGGTGGAAAGATGCATGTAGCTGCTGTGCACATTAAAAACGAAAGGACACTCAATAACATAAACATAGCATTCTATAGAATAAGTCATTCTATAGAATGATGACTGGTAAATGCTTCACGAGAAAAGAAATTTCTAAAAAATGTTGTTCTGTTTGTTAGGTGTTCTGAAGAGTATATCAGACAGAGCGCATTTGTTTATGCGCTCTATACCTAACAATATATGCGCTCTATACAAACTAATTGTTAGGTGTATCTAACAATTAGTTTGTATAGAGCGCATAAAAATTATGGCTAGGTGCCATTATACACCTAACAATTAGTTTGTTAGGTGTTCTGAAGAGTATATCAGATAGAGCGCAGCCCAGACGGTATAGTGGTTAGGGAAGCCTGAGTGCGATACCGAAGGGCCTGGGTTCTAATCCCGGAGAAGGCATGGTTGTAACTGTCCGTTCCTTCATAGAAGGCGATGGTGGCCCACCTATTAGGTGCCTCCGTAAGACCACTATATCTGGCCTTGTTTAAATTAATGGACTGTGTTACAATGTAACTGTTCCCAATCTGCCATTGGAAAAAAATATCAGATAGGGCAATGCTTTGGAATTTCTAGAAGAATCTAAGGCAAGAAAATATGTTAGATACTTCAGTTAGTCAGTTTCGTCACGCCCATTCCATCGAAAGTGGAATATTTATTTCATATATTCAGCAATTACAATCTCTCTAGATTTCATAAAATATAGTAAATTGTTCTGTTAACGGAAGGAAAACAAAATTTTCAAAGATGCGAAGTTTGATTAGTTTACTTCAAGAGCAAGCTTTCCTTGTCAAGATATTATTTTATCACTTTAATCTTTGACAATGAAAATAAATGTTTGAATCATTGAACAAACAAAATTATGCTCGAATATATATATATATATATAATGTTTTTCAAACTATAATGCATTATGTATAACTCTTTTTGTTATCTTAGACAAGTTATTCTCCTCTAAAATTAAACAATAATATTAAATTTTAGTTGAGGAAGCTCGTCATACGAACTTTGCACGGGCAGACAAATTATGAAATGTAAGGCAGCTGGTGTCACAATTATAGCTACAGTCCTCCAAAAATAAATAAATAAATACGTACATAAAGCTACTGAGTACAGTTTTCTGACTATTTGTATTTAGCCTTTGACCAGCATGATTTTGTCTGTAATTTGAAATTGAAGATGCTAAAATATTTCTCGATGCATCCATAATTACAGGTAGAAAACAGAGTCCAAAAAGCAATTTACAACAAAACATAGGAAAAATGAGCCAGGAATCAGACAGTCCTTTGAAAGAGTTCTTGCCTCTTATGTGCCATACATTACCGGAAAAACTGCGGCTGAAAGCGAAGAAAGAATTGAACGAGACAGAAGAAAATTTCCGACGAGGAATACAACATCTCAAGGACTTCATTCTAAGTAAGTTATATATTTCTTCTTTTCTATTTACAGGAAATATTATATTATATAACGCATACCTGCAAACAGCATGCGGATGAATCACACTTAAAATGAGAAAGAAAATTTAACTAACACTGAATATTTTTGCGACAAACAAGGAAAATCGAAAAATTATGCTATAATAAACGTTCACGTTTTGAGCAGCTGGCTTTACATGAATTGCAATAGCGTAAGATCTTTCAAAATTTCAATTAGTAGTTTTATTTGTATAAATTTTGAAAATAAGTAAAATAACAGAAGTGTAAGGTATTTTGAAATTTAGTAAATTGTTCTGTTGTCGGAAAAGTACAAATTTTGATTACACCTTTAAGGAAAGAAAGGTTGCACCTTTAAGGAAGAATTGCACCTTTAAGGAAAGAAAACTTTAGGATGAAAAGTGAAGGAAATGTTCTCTTAATGACGTCAATGGAATAATCGCTTTTCTTTCCCGAGTTCTAAATGCTAAATCTTCTAGGATTAATATGCTTCTTACATAAACTACTTTGGGGAAATTCTGAGTTTTACATTCATTATTACCCTTTTAAAAACAAAGGCTAAAATGACATTTTTAATCATTCTGTATCTGAAATTTCTCTTTAAAAATCATATATGCTTCTTGTTTTATTGCAGATTGCTGTTAGTTAATTAAGGCAAAGGATTATCTGCCTATGGTAAAGATTATTCTTCGTGAGGGGATATTCTGCGGTTAACATAAATTCTCATTACAGAGAAGAAATGCATGAAAACCTTATGTCTTTAGCTCATTTTTTCAGAATTTCAGAGTGAACCGAGTTATTAATATTCAGCAGCTGTATGCTCTCGGAAAGTAACTGACTGACTTTTCTGCAGACAAACAGATTTCTCCATACACTAGAAACGATTTTAATTTGTTTTCCATGTGACCTGGTAGTGAGTTTTTAAGAACTGTCATTCAGCATTCCGAAAGATCTATAATTTATTTCTCAGTTTATTAATAATGTACACCTTGTACCAAAAAAGGGGGTAAAGCATCAGTTTTATATTACCCATTCTATTGCGCCGACTGACGAAATTTCATTTGCGTTTTTCATGCCACAAAGCACGACTTAGGATATATATTAGATTTATATACTGTCCTAACATAGACATTCCGACACAAAATCGGATTTTTCTGATATAATATACCCAGTTTTTCCTTATTTCGATTGTACGACCCAGATTATGCTAAAGTTTTGTAAAAATAGATTTATTTTAAAATTTTTATTTTTAGTAGGTTTTATTAATTTTTTAAAACACTTTCGAATTGTAATCTTATAAGGTATTTCTCCCACCTTCTTGGCATGCCTTCGTGATGTGGTTGTCTGCACGTTGGGCGCGTATTCCAGAAATCCGCTGTTCGATTTCCGGCGAAAGTGTTGCTAATTTTCCATCTTACCTGCTTCCAAAAAATACCTAATGCCTCTAAAGTGGCGCCCGAACTAAAAAAAAGGCGTTGGATGATGGTTCTCCACATCCAGGATTTGGCGATTGGGTCCCATAAAAAACCCCAGCCGCCCTTTAAAATAGTGAGTATATAAGGTACTTCTCCAACCTTCTTGGCTTACTCTCGTGGTGTGGAGGTCTGCACGCTGGGCGCGTATTCCAGAGGTTCGCGGTTCGATTCCCGGCGTTGCTAACTTTTCCTCTTGCCTGTTCCCAAAAAAATACCGAATGTCTCGACAACCTACAAAAATGTTACCATAATCTTAAAGTAAATGTATTTCTAGCCATACCTGCAAAACATTAGCGTTTTTATAAAAAATTTCGAATAATAATTTGAATTTATATATTAGAGGGTTTTAAAATTTGGCATATTTGTTATAAGCGGTAGTAACGCCAAACGTGTTTGAAATTAAAAAAATAAATTGAACAAAGGTTCAATTTATTTGAAAGAATAAACAATGCAATTTTTTTCGGTCGCACACAGTGAAAAAAGGGGAAAAGAAACTAAATTACTATAAATTAAGACTTTCGCGAAGTGAATTATTCTTGGCGAAAGCTAAAAAAATTGCCCCAAGATAAATTTTTAAATTTCTCGCGAAGTTTCTTATTACATTTTACAAAATTTAATATTTGAATCGTAGAATCTAAATAAGGAAAAAAATGTATATGTTATTTTAGAAAAAGTCCAATTTTGTGTCAAAAAATCTATGTTAGAACAAAGCTATATATAAATCTAATATATATCCTAAGCCGCGTTTTTGTGACATGAAAAACGAAAGTTCGTCAACCAAGTAGAACGGTACGCATATAACTCTTCCATTTTTCTTGTGCAAGATGTGCCTAATTGAGATAATTTAAAGTACAACTAAAATACAAAATGCATTACACAATATTATATTATTACATAGTATATTATACTATTAGAACCATAAGGTTCCGTTATAATTTAAAATAAATTTAAATATAAATAAAATAAATTTAAATTATAATGTGACCTCATGGTAATTTTTGCAAACATTTACAGTATTATTGTAATTTGCAAACAATAAACCTGTCTCTTTATATATATATATATGTTGTAAATTGATGGTAGATTGGATTATCCCCTTAATAAATCTATTAATCTTTTATAAATGACAATAGCTACTTTTTCAATGCTTAAAATTTTTACGTTTGCTTTTTTTTGCAATTAAGGATTTTTCTTTACAGAATTTTATGTTTTTAAAGCAACAGAGGTTTGGAAAATACTAATTTAAAAATGTAATTAAAATTCTGACTAAAACGTTTAAATTTTTCATGTTTTTAATTGAATTTCTGTTCCTTGGAGATGGTATATGAAAAGTTTTATTTATTATAAATTATTCGTTTATACACTGCTCGACATTGAAAACGCAACACCAAGAAGGAGTGGTCAGAAATGTATGCAAATTTTAGAGTAGACGCACGTCACTTAGTTATGCGAATGATGTGAAATGCGCACCTCTCCGACGCACGTGAAGTAAGATATAAGGGAAGGATCGTGAAGAATGGGCAATATTCGTGTCGTTATTTCTGCTAGACGAATTATCGAAGAAAGTTGGTTTTTGTCCCGGAGGATACGTATAATTGGAGAGAATGCCAGGCGCCGTCAACGAAGGCACTTCCAGCAGATAGACGATTTTACGAGGGGTATGGTGATCGGACTGAGAAGGGCGGGTTGGTCCTTACGTCAAATCGCAGCTGATATCCACATAGATGTGAGCACAGTGCATCGGATGTGAGCACGGTGCTATGGCGAACAAGGTTGGAACAAGAAAATGTAGGAAGAAAGAGGGCTGCAGGGGCAGCCAGAATGACGTCAGCACGCGTGGATCGACGCATTTGCCGACAAGCTGTGGCGTCTCGCAAGTCACTTGAACCGCGATTCTGCAGCATGTGCAAGATACCCTGAATGTTCCCGTGTCGACCAGAACCATTTGCCGTCGATTGGTTGAACGTGGCCTACACTCACCGTGTCCGTTAAGATGACTGCCATTGACCCCACAGCATAGACGCCAACGTTTAGAATGGTGCCGGACTGGAGCGATGTGGAAGAATGGAGAAACGTCGTGTTCTCAGATGAGTCATGCTTCTGTTATTCAGTGACAGTCACCGCATACGCGTGTGGCGTCGACGTGGAGACAGATCTAATCCGGCAATAACTGTGGAACGCCCACCAAGCGACAACGTGGCATAACGGTTTGGGGCGCTATTGCCTACGATTCCTAGTTCCTCTAGTTCGTATTCAGGGCACTACGACGGCCCAAATATACTTGAATAATGTACTGCGGCCGGTGGCAATCCCCCTACCTTCAGATGCTGCCTAATGCAATTTTTCAGCAGGATAACGCCCGACCACACAGTGTTCGCATCTGCCAACTTGCTCTGCAAGGTATACAGATGCTTGCCTGGCTAGCGTACTCACCTGACCTGTCACCAATCAAACATATGTGGGATGTGATTGGAAGCCGTTTGCAGACTCTGCCCCTGCCTCTTTCAGAAGACGAACTGTGGCAAATGGTTGAAAGGGAATGGAGAATCATCCCTCAGGACACCATCCGCACTCTTATTGACTCTATCCCTAGACGTGTTTTTTCGTGCATCGCTGTCCAAGGTAGTCGAACATCCTACTGAGCCACGCCGTTCTCGCTCTGTATTATGACTATCATTTTGAAATAAAGATCACTTATTGTTGCTTGCTGTCTCTGTCTTTTTTCCAAATTTCATCAATTTTTGACCACTCCTTCTTGGTGTTGCATTTTCAATGTCGAGCAGTATATATATGTAATATATTCAGGAGCAGGATGAGGAATTTTGATGGCGAAGAAGTGTTGATCCATAATGACGAGGAAAGTGGTGACGGAGGCAGATTTAAATCTTAATTTTTTTTAGCAAACATGTTGCGGCGACAATAACTTGGCACATTAATTGTGCCTATTCCAAGAGATTTTACATTTTAGATAAATTTGCAATAAGAAAGAAAGAGCAGACAGACTGCAGTGCGGCCAGGCCAAAGCATAGAAAGGAGGTGCGTAATGTTCAGGATGAAATCTTAAGTCAGACTGAGTTAGTTTTGGTTTTCAAAGTATTCTGATTGGACAGCTAATATTGCTCCAAAATTACTATTGGCTAGTTGAGTTTTAATTCCACCTAATTACGTAATAATCATATGACATAGAATAGTCTCGAAATGACGCAGTGCAGAGAGGGGTTACTATTTTTAGAATTGAGAAGGGAAATTAATTTACGCTGCTAATTTAACCTTTTACATATTATTTTTCTTACATATATATATATATAAATAAATATAAAAAGAGGCTAAAAATTAGAATTAAAATTTTTTTTAAACCCGCCCGTAAAAAATTTTTAAACCCGTTCTTTTGTATATATAAGAAAAGAAGTAGTAGTTAACGAGGGAAGAAGAAAGTACGGTAGTACTAAAAGCAACAAATTATATATATATATACACACACACATATATATATATATATATATGTATG